AAAAATGACTCACCCTGAATATTCATAAACATTGAAATTTTTAGGGGTTTTTTCAAAGCTTTTTAAAAAGCGTCATAAATACATATCTTTTTAATAAATTTTAAAATAAACCAAACCAACAAAAATGCTAGGTACATTCAAAATCAGAAGACAGCAAGCAATTGATTTATAAATTAAATTATTAAATTCGTTCATTTCTCAAGGAAATGAAAAGTGGTTAGACACAAACTGACTAGAATCCAAGGATGTTTACACGAGAAAGTACAATAAATACAAAGATGTAAGTATAGTCAAATAAAATTAAACGCACCACTATTTTATATGTATACACAGACATAGATACATATACACACACAAATATATATATATATATATATATATATATATATATTTTACTGAGTGATTCGACAGGCGCTTCTACATCCAAACTTCAACAAAGAAGTTCGTATGAACCATGGTCCAATTCTTAACGCTTTCGCAAATATTAAACATTTATTTCTTGTTTCTGTTTTTTCTACTATCTAGGGTTTTCGTATGAAATCTAATCGCAGCTCACGAACGTGTCATTTTCGGGAAAATCTAAACAAATTGAAAAGAACGTTAAATTGCCTTTCATATAGCACCTTTCTAGAACTTTCAATTTAATTTTCAAAAAATCACTAAATCCTTGAATAACTGCTAAATTTAAAATCTATAAAAAATTGAAATGCAACATCGTTCGAAATTGACGGTAGAGCTTGCATATTTCATGGCAACTTATTCGTATAATAATAAGTTTTCTCGCGGTTTACACTTTTCTTGAATTCCATCGAACCAAAATGCAGAAATTTTATGCTAAATGAGAAAAAAGTGGTGAAGGTGTGAAAAAAGGGGAATTGGGTTGATCTAGTAATACACCTTTTTGTCCAGGGCAAAATTTATTTCCCAGCTTTAACAAAATAAAAAACACAACAAGAAAGAAAAATGAAACAAAACACATAAAAAGGAGACAATAAGCATAGTAAACAACAAAAGCAGAAAATTTGGACAAAATAACTACGCTAAACACAGTCGAAAGGACAACAATACAAAAGTTGTAAAACCCAACTCTAACTTAATAAAAAAGCACGCTCAAAAAGGAAAATTCAACATAAAAATTAAACAAAACACACAAAAAAGGGACTCTATACATTGTACTAGATTAACCCCATCGTCCCTTCTTCACACCATCACCACTTTTTTCCCACTTAGCATCAAATTTCTGCATTTTGGTTCGATGGAATTCAAGAGAAGTGTAAACCGCGAGAAAACTTATTTAAAAAAAATAAAACTTATTAAATTTATGCATTTTCCTTAGATATAATCAAAGACAAGGATATATCGCTAGAAAGCTTATTAAACAAAGAATTTACCAAATTCTACCGAGAATTTTTCTAATCAGATTTCAAGTATAGCTTTTATAGTTGCTTTGTCGTAAAAGTAGCGAATCACCCGATATATTAACGAATGCATTCGGAATTTTGGCCATTTTGTAATAGTTGCGAGCATTTGACTATTTTTAATAGCATGTTCGTCAGACAAATTTTTCTGAAAACAATACTTGGTTGAAATTCGTCTAAAGCAGATCGTCTTTTCTATCTTATGTGCTTTAGGAAGGAGGTAGTTTTGGCCTATTTTATTATGTCAAAAGCACGATAAGCTTAGAAATTTAATACAATAGGTAATGGCTAATAATTCATCCACTACAATTAATTTCTCCACACATTAGTAATCAACTTATTTAAGGCCAAAGATGTTCAGACTTTCTACGACGAGAATAAACGAGTAAATATGCAAACACGATAATAAAAATTAATTATGCAACTTAATTTTGTATGGTAATGAGCGCATTCAAATGTATGTACATTTCACTTTCTGGCTTTTACTTATTAAAATTATTTTTGAAGAATAGATTTGGCTGAGATATGTGTCAGTTTTTACATCAGGAATGAAGCAGTTTTGACCTATTTTACTGTAAAAAAAGATCGTATTTTCTAGAGACTTACGTGCTTTTGTGAAGGAGGCGGCCGGCGTTTAGGGGGTGGTGAGCGGTTTGATGCTGGGGTGAAACTGGCATCACGGATGATATCGAGATGGGGGCGGCTGCGCCCTGGCTCAAATCCGGTGGCACAGTTCGACAGACGTCGGCGGCTAATTGACGACGATTGGAACTAATCGGGTGAGAATTGGAAAGCACTAAAAGACGTACGGAGACGGATTTTTCCCGGATATTCTACGGCGATTCGCTTCACCGACGAGAAAAGTTACAAAGGAAACTCTCCTACTTTAACATCCGACTTACAAGCTCTAAGTCACACGTGGTAATTGGGACCATTGTGCTTGGTTTTTGTCGGATCCGAGCACATATTTGAGTCAATTAATTCTAGAGTTAAGCTGATAACAATGAAAACCCCAAGGCGTTGTTAATACTTTCCTCTACATCTCGAGGTTTATAAAAACAAAGAGGAATAAGTCGGCCCAACAATTTTCTCTCGTTAATGATTCAAAATTTGAACAGAGAAATAATCAATGGTAGACAGTTTATAATAATAGTGTGGTTTTATTTTTAATTTTAAAACGGGAAAAGTGGGCCAAAGAAACACTGCTAAAAGCATACCTCTACTGGTATACTGACGGCTCCAAAACTGACAAAGGCACGGGAGCTGGAGTCTTCGGGATGAACCCAAATACGGTAAACCTAGGTAACAGTTTTCCAGTCTGAAAAAAGCGATTGAACAATGCGCCAGAGAAATAAAAAGGCTAGGAATACATTCCTTCCTACAGGCAGCACTAAGGCCCTAGCGTCTTGGGAGGTGAAGGTAAAAAAGTGTTTGGAACTGCACAGAAGCCCTGTCGGAAGTCAGTGACACTAATAAGCATGCACTGGATAGGAATACAGATAGAAGAAACACTGTGCAGATACTTACAGGAAGAGGAGGGACCGCAGATCACATTTAATATTTCTGTGAAGGTCTATGTTGGTGCAGGTCTTGCAACTAGGACAAGAAAAACCGCAAGCAAGATCCTACTCTAAGGAACCGCTGGCAAAGCTATGGAGGCTGATTAACAACCTGAAGCTGGCCAGTGTGTTATAAATAACAGGGGAGCACAATAGATCTATTCAGGACGAAGTGCAGTAGGCCTTATGGCCGTCTCTGATATCCCTATCCCTTTTTATTTGGTACGTAAAAGTTTATTAACATATTTGGCAAAATATATCTGACATTGAAACAGCAAGGACAACAGGACCATATAAATTAAGAATATTGATAAAGATATACGTCAAATCATATGGGTAATAGGTACATAACATACAAATACTAATACAGGCTGATAGATAGACACACAGACAGATAATAGTTAGATATGACATATGACATCCAAATATTCAGTTAATATAGGAGAACGATGCACAGTTAGTGAGGCCTTACAGTTTGATTATATGATAGAAATATGTGTGCCATATGGCGTAGATAGTTTGTGATAAACTGCTAATCAGTTAATGATAGGCAGACAGTAAGATAGAAAGATAGATATATAATGTGCAGATAGATCAGAGATTTTTTCAAATGAAGCAATTTTGTTGTAGTATTATAGTTTTCTATATGTATGCAAATAAAATATATTAATTTATTGAATTTAAAAAATATCTGTTTCTGAATAGGTACAAATAGCCATTTTACATTTTCACTGTATATTTCAAACATTGAGCAGAAAAGTACTTGAACAGTAAGGGAAAATTGAGCATTTATGAAAGCAGCTTTTTACAGTAGTCACATGGTTCGGCAAATAAGTCAAGAATCAGATGTTCAAACATAAAATACTTTATGGAAAGGGAAAAACATGAATAAATGGAAATCAGGCGTGGTTTCAAACCGATAGAAAAAACATCTACAATTCTATTGGTCGGTGGAAAAATAAATAGTTCGTGGTCAAAAATGTTATTTTATCGATATAGTGAAATATCAAAATATCCACTTGCTATTAAATATTGTGGCCTGATAAAAATTAATTCTAATTGACCAAGAAGTGAGGGTTAACGGTGAAACAATAAAATTAACATTATGGTTGAAAAATGTAGATTCGGCTTAAAAGTGGTGGTCATTTTTACAACAAAAAGCAAAAATGCAAACTTTCAAAAGTCGAATAAAGTCAATTATATTGCAAATAAATGATATACATATGAATAAAATATGTAAAATAGTAAAACATCACTTTATTTCCTTAGGAGATGTAAAATGCAGCCCTATAGACAGAAAGTTATAAGGCATCTTTAGATAATACAAATTCTTTGCGGATATAAACAAAGATGCAAGGAAAAATAATTTGTACTCATGGAGGTTCTAAATATTTTTCGAAACATTTTTTTAAAAATTCAGAGTTACCCAAAACGTTAGTATTTTACATAAGATGCTGTTTGGATGAATCAAAATCATGTTGAAAGGAAAAATAAACAATTTTAATTTCATATTGTCTCCATAAAAAACTAGATTTTTTCTCAAGATTTTGTCTTTGTCGATTTGGCCGAAATTTTATATATTTTAAAATAATAAAAGGCCAAAAATACGAAAATTTTGAACTACAATTCAGCCGGAGGCAATCGAACAAAAAAAATTAATTTAATATGAATGGAATTCTTACGAAAATGAAGGCCCACTGACAATGAATGGCCCAAGGCGTTTAGTTTCAAAATACAATTAGTCCAATTCTCCAAAGATTTGGAAATTGCTCCAAGACAAACTTAATGTATTTTTCTCAAACGTTAGTTAAAAAAGTAGTTCTTGATAGTTCGTTTTCATCGACTATTAGTTCATATTTTAAAATGTTGGACAAAATCCATTTTCACTCAGCAAAAAAAAAAAAAAAAAACGTTACCAGTAGGTTGGAAGAATGTATTTTGGGGTAAAACGATCCGTTGCGTAACAAGGGGGAGTTCAATAGGATTTGCGAAGCCTTATACAAACGAAAGGGGTCCGTGCAGTCGCACAGTGACTGCTCCAGGCCGATATTATGTCTCCGCTTTTCACGTTCGCTTTGCTCTCGTTTTTGGTAGTTCTCGGGGAAACTGTGATCCAAAATGTTGGCGGGTTTCAAAATGGTACGGCTGTGTACAAATTTAACAACGGCAGTAAGTTCGAACCGGGCGAATTGGATAATTGTACAGGTATACTTTGCAATTGGTTTTGATGAAAAATTAACTCTAGATGTTGCAAGCCTTATTTAGCACTTGTAATACTATGTGATTATGAAATAAGTGAACTTATTTATTATTACAGCAGAGGTCCGTAAACTTAGATCATAGGCCTCGGGGTCCCGGTGTTTTTGATTTTGGAGAATTTTATTAATATTTTATTAGCTTTCAACAAAAGAATGATTAAACGATTTCAAATTTGAATGAATACATGAATTTTGAACTCTTTTAAATTTTGCTGTTACATTATTGCATATAACTCAGCTAAAAGTTATAAATTAATAATTAATTTCATAAAATCTAACATAAAAATTTCATAAAGTTTCATAAAAATAAAAGGGGAACAATATTCATATATATAATCAAATTCATTTATGCACCGTTATCACAAATATTTATTAGATTTTTTTTTTTTTAACTTCTATCTGTTTTAGTCCTTTTCTTTCAAATTAATAAGACAAAATATTAACGTCCCTCTGACGGTTATTGGGATGTTCAGGGAAGAAAATTAGTTTTCGCGGTGAAACAGAAAAAAAAATAAATAAAGGAGAATTTTTAAGAGAAAGGGAGTTAAATCTGTTGTCATATAGTTTCTAATAAAAACTATTCCTGAAGCATGATGACAAAAACTCTTTTATCAGGGCCGACATCACGAGAGTGTCTCTTTGGGGGCGTTTGAACTTTATTTGCGGGTTTTAATTAGAGGAGGACCCTTTACAGCAGGCGCAATGCTCTTTTTCCACTCGTGGAAAATCACGTTTCAATAAAATAGTCGCAGAGACTCTTCTGTCAATTTTTTTAAGGACAGCGTTCAAATTGCTTTTCCTTTTTTGTAGGTGATGTCTGTTTACTTGTTACACACTGGAGAACTAACAGAAAGCTTATTAAAATGCCTAGTATGTGTAAAAGCAACCTTTCTATTTACTAAAACCTCAATCCGATTTTTTTTAAATGTTCATTATTGATGACCTTAAACAATTTTAAATTTCTACCAGCATTTTTTTTTCATTTTTATATACAACAAGATAAAGCTTATGTTTTTATAATAGAAATGTACCGATACTTTAGCCCTTTGAAAGAAAAGTACTCTGTTCTTTAAATTTATCTCCTTTAATTAGCGTGACACCTCTAAACAAGAAACTACACATTCCTATGTTACAGCAGACTTCTTTTTCGCCTTTCTACGCCATGGATTAATTTCTATTAAAAGTTCAAGTTGTTCTTTCTCTACGGTACTGAGTTTTCTTTGCTTTCCTAAGAAACTTTTTCTCGGTGGCTGTGTTTAGTCGGTCGAAACGAGAAGCCTATGTGAGGGAATTGAACGTTTCCTTCTCCGGTATACAACAAACATTAGAAGAAAGCACAAAATAGACGTATTAGGGGTATTCACGATCTTTGTGTTAACCCTGTCAGCTCCTGTTAGCTCCTGTTAGATCGAGAAAAATGATTTCGTAGACTTGTAAGAATCGGCTAGTTAACATTGCTCGATCTAACAGGCCAGGGCCAATGTTAGATGTTAGGTCGAAAATGTAGTCACATTGCTATCCGTTAGGGCGTAGGTAACCAACATGTCAGTCATGATTTTAACAGCTGTTTTTTGTTTACACGTATTTTTATTCTCAAATACGCATTAATTAAATCAGACCAATACGCTTCCTTTGTTAATTTCTGTCCTGTTCTTATACTCTCATTCATAATAGATACATCCCATATCCTATAAAGTTGTGGGCTGTTAGACGTTAGGATACAAGTTAGGTATGGCCGCACGAATTGGAGCGTGTCATTTGTTAGTACTTTACGAGTGCATAGATAGCATTTTGAATGAAAGAGTTGATTAATTTCCCTCTTTTCTAACTTCTGGCATCTTACAATTTAACACAAAAGACAGACAACACAAGCCCTCAAGTACTGTTATAGCCTTATTTTTGGTTATAACAGTCGCCACGCGCAGCATTGCGGAAAAATTAACGTTTAACGTGCTAAGAAAAGAAAGGGTGTTCACGATCTTACTGGACATTTCTCTATTCGAGTTAACATCTTATTGTTACATTGTGAATGCCCCTATTATATCAAAAACCCTCCGAGAGGCTATTGTAGAATGTTGGCTAAACCAAAAGCTTCACTATTCCCCACCTACCTCAGTAATGTACTAAACAACCAGCACCTTTGGTATGCAAAAAACTGAAATGCAAAAAGAAATAAAATCGTCCAACATACCAAAGTTGATATACATAGAAAAGTTAACGAATATGATTTCCATTGCACTACAACCTACGAAAAGTCAGTAAGTTGACTAGTTAAACCAGACATACTGTTTTGTTCCATCTTCTAAATAACGGATACCTCTATCGCACAAAACCCAAAACCGGCATAAGGTTGGTTAAAACTTTGCTTTATTAACTTTGAAACACCCAAGCATCCATCTGATACATCAAAGATCTGGACATGAGGCACGTCTCTTTTCTACGATATCGCAAGAAAACTGTTTCTTTTTAAAGAGATTGTTCCAACTCACAGTTTGTCGTTTTCAACGATCCGGATTTCAAGCTCATCATCAGATTGAATAAATTTACATCCACGTCCCTCGACATAAATTGTAAGGGTGACTCGTGCTCACAAGTGATTCACTCTTACAATTCATGTCGAGAGATGTGGTTGTAAATTCCTTCACCTGATGATGAACATGAAATCCGGATCGTTAAAAACAACAAACTGTGAGAAGGGACTATCTATTTAAAAAGATTAACCAACATACTCACCCCACCATGTATCATTTCTAATATATGCATTTCTTTAGCTACACGTTTTTTTGGCTCACCCTTTGTTTTCCTGAATTTTCTTTCTCTTACAGAGAATTTTCTTTTGTCATGTGCTACTTTCAAACAAAAATATATTACACGAGAACATATAAATATATCCGACTAGACGAAAATGGTTGTAGTCGATTACATACCACCGGTATGGTAAGATTATACATAAGCGTCAGATGAACTAAAACCCAAGATTTAGTTAACCAAGTTAACGAAAACCCCAAAAACCAAGTTAACGAAAAAGTACAAGTCAAATCACAAGTCTTCAAACAGCAAAATCGAAAATTACTTTATTCGTTCTACTCCTTCTTGTTACTAACAATTTTTATACAAGCTTTTTATCTACAAATTGTAGCACGACAGAAATAGTAGATTTAAATGTGTACCTTGTGATAATTTATTAATTGTTTAAATAATTGTTGGTTGAGATAAAAGACCACTCTATTTTCAGTTTAACCACATATTTGTCTTTCAACCCTGTTGAAAACTGCAAAAGAGATAAACTTCGGTAACGTTACAAACTTTACATAATTTCAAGTTGTGAATTCTCTTCACAACCCTAGCGAAGAATAGACGAAGTCTTGTATAACGTAAGGTTTTCTTTTTTTCCGAGACGAAAAAGAATTGAAACCGCACGGGGAAAGGATTTCTCAAAAATCTATAAATCAGTTCGGCATTCGATTTATTTCCCTTCCCCTGGTCGTAAATCCGGCAATTTTTCTTTCCAAAGAGACCTGCATTCTCCAGAAAAAGACAGCTAGGGCGGATCGTGAACTTAGCCTTTCGTCCTGTTCCAGGGAGTACGTCGTCGGAAGCGCAGCCGAGAAGATCCTCGACCCCGGCGGGCAAGGCGATACCCGTCGTTTTTGGACCCCTGCCCAAAGGACGGGATTATGCGACAGCCGCCCCCCGAGATACAACAGCCGTCAACCCTTACCAATACATTAAAGGGATTCTCAACTTTATCCACCCTTATCCATTTCAACCAGGTACTATATACATAACATTTATTTTAAAGTTGTACATAGGTAATACAACTCCCTCATCATTATCGAACAATAAAGCATAACATTGTTATTCTCACCATGAAAAGATTTTTGTTTTACTATTGTTATTAATTATTTTCTATATTTAGGATATATTTGAGGAGGATGTTTGAAATCGAATGTTGATGTTCACACTAGTCTACTTCATATGCTGAAGTTTAAGGTTTAATATTAATCATACGATAATTGTTTTATCTTTATTTTTCACTAGATAACCTTACAAAATAAATTATATAAAATGGTTTTTTTAAAGCAATAAGTTAATTTTTAAAGTCTTTTGTTTCCTTGAAGAAAGGGTTGGTTAAAATTGTGCTTGTTGTTCAGTGTCGGAGAACATCACGAAACGTATTGTTCTCACATTTTCCAAATTAAGTACAAAAGGCACATTCGCCATACCAAGAAGACATGACTACAAATGCTTTGATAAATAAATATACGTGAATGTTAATCAACCGTAATTAAATTATTTTTAAACAAAAGTAAAAACGATTTTTAGCCGGATCGAACTGGTGACTGCTGTCCAACAACTGCAGGTCCAACGAAATGTTCTAAATCAATTAAGAAATAGTTCTTCATAGAAAAATCAAAAATAAAATGAGAAGAACTAGGATTAATGCCAAATAAAGTCCTTAAACGCAGGTTATTATTTTTAATCTCCATTCATTTTTACTACTCGGAATACAGAAGTTACGCTAAAACCTTGTGACCTGACCTACACCTGACTCCGAACCCGCGATTGCTTCAGAAGATCTGCAGAGACATATTACATGTATAACAGCTTGGTGCAGGCAAGAGAAAATGATGATAAATGAAAGAAAGTTCGTCCAAGTCACATTTACACTATGGTGCAAATCTTCTCTAACAATCTACTACAACAATGATCCTATCCCCAAATCCGACTGCGTTCGTAACCTTGGTTTCCACCTAGATTCACGCTTAACATGGATCAGCGTACACGATTGATCGATTGAACGATGATGATGCTACGGTATACTCTACAAACTTGTGGGACGACAAATCAAGCTCTTCACTTTTAAATTGATGTTCAATGCAATAGTATGGCGTTATGTTTTCTAAATTTCCCATTCTCACTGCTCTGAAAGTAATAACTTAATAATTATAACAGCACCCTTCGCTTGGGGAACGAAGAGAGAGTTGACCGTCTGAGATGAGTTTAGGTCCTAACTATGTTGATAATTTTTAATCGAAATTTTAAATTGTAACATTTAAATATATTGCAAATATAAGAAGCTGGCCCTATAAACCAAGGACTATATATTGTGCAATTTGCAACTGTATTTTATGACTACTCTACCAGGGATGGTTATCATCAATAAACGAATAGCTCTGAAACTAGAAACTCGGTAAATAGAAGTTGGATAGACAGGTGGCATTGAAGGTCACATACATCATCGGTAGTGAAGTTCAGAGCAGTTTCGGATTTTAAGGCCCTGTCTATCATAACTTGTTTGGATATCATCGCATAAAGGGGAAACGTCGTAAACGAAAAAGGGGGAAAAGTCTGAAGCTGGTGAAAAAATTACGATTTCCGGCCAAAATAATGGTAAAAAAGGTCAATCATCCCTACAAATCAACGAACCTGAAAAAATGAATTTATTTAATCTAATAATTTGTAAAAACCTATTGTAAAAATATAAAAAAACTACTACTGGGAAAAATACTGGCAAAAAATTGATATCATGACACGTAGATAAAGAACGCGGAACAGTGGGTATTTTTATTTTAATGCCCTGGTAAATGTTATTAAATTTTAAAAATAAAATGATTTTTATTATGTATTATTCAGAAATCGTGAGATGCGGTCTGGTATGATGTGGGTTCAGAAAAACTTTTTCTTTATCGTGCCAACATTTTCATCATTATTGAGATCTTCTTCAGGGCCTGGGATTTACAAACATTGTTTAAATTTAACAAATACATGTAGGATGTGGAAAAAAGTGAATTTATACAAATTCAAAATTTCTTTTTCGATATTCAATCAAAGTATTTCTACTCTTCTTTGATTGAATATTAAAAAAAATATATTTTTTTTTGCATTGTATAAATTTACTTTTTTCCACATCCTACATGTATTTGTTAAATTTAAGCAATGTTTGTAAATCCCAGTCCCTGAAGAAGATCTCAATAAAGATCGAAACGTTGGCACGATAAAGAAAATGTTTTTCTGAAACCTACGTCACACCAGACCGCATTTCACGATTTATGAATAATTATGGACTAACGGTCACTAATCACCACACATTTATTATGTATTCTGATCTGGCGAAACAAAAACATAAAATAATCGCTTTCAATTCATTTTTGTTTTTAACTGCTGGTTATCAAATATTCAATATACCCATACAATGAAATATTCTGACTAAATGCTAATGAGGCAAGTTAAGTACATTTTATTATAAATTTCATTTTTTCTGTTTAATTATACAGGGTGAGTCATTTTTTGACGCACCATTAGAAAATCAACGTGGGTACGTTTAAAAATGACTCGAGGCTTATTTCCTTTGATTAATACGTTAATAAAAGAAAGTGAGTCAATTTTCGGTGCACCATAGGAAAATCAACGTTGGTGCGTCTAATTATGACTCGGCACATTTTATTTTGTTAGCCTCGTACCAAAAAATAGGAGAGTCACTTTTCGACGCACCATTCGTTCTAAATTAATTTTAGTAGGTTGGAAGGAAAATAAACAAAACTAATATTATTAAAACATTATTCAAGCACAATGTAAAAATTTAAAAAAAATTCTTCACAAATTAATTTGATTAAGGTTTAAGAGTATTTTTTTCTGGTAAAGTAAAAAAATTAAATAAATGTAACAATATTCTTTTTTCTGGAAAAGTAAAAAAATTAAATAAATGTAACATTCTTCTTTTTTCTGGTAAAGTAAAAAAATTAATTAAATGTAACAATCTCCTTTTTTCTGGTAAAGTAAAAAAATTAAATAAATGTAACATTCTTCTTTTTTCTGGTAAAGTAAAAAAATTAATTAAATGTAACAATCTCCTTTGTTAGTAATCCAAAAATCTTCAAAATCATAATAATAATTGTTCGAACAGACCTCCATTTGCTGCAACACAGTAGCCTAGTCTATCGTAAAACGATGATCGGACGAAAAAATACTCTTAAACCTTAATCAAATTAATTTGTGAAGAATTTTTTTTTTAATTTTTACATTGTGTTTGAATGTTTTAATAAGATTGGTTTTGTTTATTTTCCTTCCAACCTACTAAAACTAATTTGTAACGAATGGTGCGTCGAAAAGTGACTCGCCTATTTTTTGGTACGAGACTAACAAAATAAAATGTGCCGAGTCATAATTAGACGCACCAACCTTGATTTTCCTATGGTGCAGCGAAAATTGACTCACTTTCTTTTATTAACGTATTAACCAAAGGAAATAAGCCTCGAGTCAGATTTAAACGCACCCACGTTGATTTTCTAATGGTGCGTCAAAAAATGACTCACCCTGTATATTTTATTTTCACAGAAAGTATTATTTAGAAAGACAACTTTTAAAAAATCTGAATTAGGACGATAAAGTTTTAATCTATTGGCTGTATGCAGCTTAAAAAAGAAACATTGTCATATAAGCTATCATTAGTATTTATTAGGTATGTTAAGAAGCTATGTAAGAAGCTCTATTATTTTATAATCAGGAAAAATTTCAATCAAATGGGCGAGGTGCTGTAAAAAAATTTATCCCCTCTTCAGTGAGAAGCCCTTGGTATTCACAAAAAAAGACAGCCCATTTTTATTTGTCCGGCCGACCCACTTATCGTGCGCATTCCACTCCATTTTAAACCCCAATACATCACCACTCTCTCCGGATCTCAACCAGCCAAGTAAAAATGCAATTAAATTGTTTAAAAGGGTCGATTTTTTTGTTTGTTTCAGACTTGTTCCGCGACATGATGCGAGGCAATATCTCATCCCCTGCCACGGTGCTCAAGGTAAGATAATAAGTTCGAGAGAACTGGCTCCAAGTCAGATTGAATAATTTCACTCCGAGAAGAATTTTACATGAAACTTAAATGAAGTGATTTATCCAACCGAAAAGGGTATTAAACCTTATTATCGGAAATTAGTCGAGGATTGAAACATTCCTAAAATTCGAAAGCAATAAAACCTTAGGTATCAGTTCCGTCCATTTAAGAATTATTGCCAAGTTAACATTTATTCATTAATGATATAATTTTACATTTAGCGCTACGAAAAAAGATACTTTTGTCATTTATTTATTTGTTTTAGCACATTACACGGGGGTGACTCCCTAACCGCTAGTCATATTCGAACATGTTAAATTAAGAAATACAAATAAATTACAGTGTAACAAAATCAACAAAGTTTTAAAATCATTAGGACAAGTATTTAGCATTTCATTTTTGAACACATTAAAAGAAGACCACAATTATGCAATTGGCATATTTCATATTGCATCATAGGCCTTTAGTAGGTAAGTCATTGAACCAAATATCCCGTAATTGGTTCTATTAAATTGGGTGAAAACTGACAAATATAAGTAGGGGGATGAGGTTGTGGACAGAAGTAATGGCCGTTTATCGCTTTCCACAAGAAACACATCCCCATCAACATAGAGCGATCCTGAAAGGATTCGTCATTTGTTGAGATTTATCTAATTTAGCGGAGGCGATGCAGGATCCAGCGGCAACAGATTCGAAAGTTGGTTTAATGCAACACTGCACTCCTGTTTTTGCATCTTGGTCGTAAAACGAATTCTTAATGATAACTCCTTTTTATTGGAGTCAATTTCGCCAGCCAAAAGTTGTTCTTCCGCTTGAGTTCTTGTCTTTCGACGGTAAATTCGTCATCGATTCACAAGTTCTCAAGGGTCAATTTTTATCGCTGGTTTATATCTTTTAACATTTCCACTTCATTATACAAGACCTCTCTTTCACGTGTAAGTAAGTTGATATCTTTTTCAAATTTACATAATTGCCCCAACAGTATTTGTGACCCCTGGAAGTGGAGGACCATATCAGTTGCCGAGGCAATATGACAAACTTTTCAAAAAAAAGGACAAATATTGAGAGTACTTCCATTGAAATATCTTCTTTCAACGTGAAATGTTCTATTTCCTTGATGAAGAAGATAGGTTCAAAACTCTTATTCTTTAAACGATCCATAATCGTTAATAATACTATAAAACGTTATAAATAAAAATTTGATTGGGACAAATATTTTTATTGAATAAGGACGTAAGCAGCAATTAATAGTTTATTTATATAGTAGTGAGCTGTCTGGATCTTTAAACTATTGTGGCAAATCTTGATCTTCTGCTTAGCCCAAATTTTGAGCTCGTGTTGTTTTGTCCATCAAGACGATGCGCCCACGTCAAGAACACTTTGGACTGGTTTAAGATTGAAGAAACGTAAGAAAATATACATTTAAGTAATCCAAATTAGCCAGAAAGTTAAATTAAATTCTCCATTTTTTAAAATAATATTGCTTTTAACCAATCTGGCAAATTGTATGGAATCGTATAAATTAAATTTATTTGCAACCATACTTATAATAATTGGTTAAAATTGAAATTAAATTATATTTTATCATTTTCGCTAAGGGGCGGCTATAAAAATTTATTCTAAAATTTAAAAGCTACAAAAAGGTGTCTAGGTTTATAGCAAGAACGCCTAGAGAATGACATACGAATAAAAGTTTATAACTTCCAGAAAACCTAACTTTAAAACAGATTACAAAACATTTTTTTTTGGGGGGGGGGGGCTTACGCTGGCATATTACCCAGTTTTCTATTTTCATTTTACAGTTGAGCAGGATCGGCCGACCAGGACCAGGTCCCCGCCATGCGCCCGCACCCACTCATTCAGCTCCATCATCTTCTCATCTTCTAAATTTTCATGGTTGAAGATAATCAAAAAGAAACGTTTATCGACTTTAGAAATCCATAGATTATGTTGAAAGCTGATGGATTGTTGCTTATTAGGGCAGATTCCATGTTTATTGGTTTGGAAATGTTTGGGACTTTGCTCAGATTTTTTAGCAGTTTGTCTCTTTCATTTTCGTATTCTGGACATTCAAAAATTATGTGGGAAGGATTTGAAGGGCAATCGCAAGTGGGACAGTTCGGAGACGATGCCAAACCGATTCTCTTCTTGTAGCTACCCCATAGGCCTTGATTTGTCTTTAGTCTAAAAATAGTAGAATAGAACTCTTTTGACATTCCTTCTGGGCTATTGCCTTCCGAAAACCATGGTTTTTTCTTGAGCTCAGGGAACAGTGACCTGTAATAACTGCCAACATTTGATGCTTTGTATTTTTCTTGCCACAGATTTCTACAAAACTTTTCCAAAAAGTTTTTCCTGTCTTTTTAATATCAAGTGTTGGACCTGATGTTGCAGCCTCCTTTGCAAGTGCGTACACCGTTTCATTTTGCCATAAGCGTGCATGCCCTTTCACCCACACAATGCCATCCTTTTTCCCATGATTTTTGTCTCAAGCATTTTCCTACAGATTTGGGCAAAAATAAATTTGTGACAAAACCTTGAGAAAAAATCTATAACATTATTAACAACTTTTTTTTGTTATTTTAATTGTATACTTTTAATAACTTTCAGGACTCAATTTACAGGCGATGTTTACTCGTCAAGAGACAGTACTACTCAAAAACAATTGAACTTTCTCGAAAAGCATTGTCCCGTTTACTGTACGATAAACGCCCTGTAAAATTAACTAAAACAGCAGCTCATCCCAACTTTTTCGAATAAAACGACAGAACTGATGAAATGAAACAAAATCCTCCCACGACTACTTAACAAACGATCCGACTTATCAAAGCCTACAGCAAAAGACTACTTTATAACTCAATACTATATATGAAACCAATATGGACACATGGTCTATAAGTCGGGGATTGTGCCAAACGCTCAAACATCCTCTGTATTCGAACGGCCCTATCGGAAATTCTTCTAAAAATTCTCAACTTTGTATTTTATGTATCAAAAGAAACCACATGCAAAGATTCTTTACGTCCTAGTGGTACTATAGTAACTCAGTCAATTTTACAAAAAAATATTCCTACCTCTACAAACTCATTAATCGAAAGAGTCTCACCCGCCCTATTTCACCAAACTCTGTCCGTAGAAGCGACGATGGACAAGAGATCGTAACAGTGATAATGTCGACGAGGGTGCATGAAAATTTGAAAAAATCTTACGAATCAAACTGTTAATCTCTGTGGGAACAAGGTGACCAAGTGGACGGGTGTCTGACTCGTATTTGTCTCACTAAACGTTCTGGGTTCGAATCCTGGCACCATGGCTTGTTAATTGATTGTTATTAGACAAAAACACAGCCAAAAAGCTTTCCCTTAAATTGCGGAATAACTAATTAAAAAATTTAACTAGTTTCTGAACAGATTAAACTCATCGGATTAGTTACCAACCAGTTTCAACCAAGAAAGAATTTTAATGTTTATTAAAATTCATGTTTAGAAAATGTCCGAATGCGCTCCGGCCTGATACGTTGAATGCTTCGTCAAAAAGTATATACAAGCACCTAATCACATTAGTTATTAAGCTTTTTATTTATTTATTGTTTATTGACTTATTTTATTTTTGTTATTAAAATATTTTTTTGTAGTTATCCATCGGATAACTTAATAATAACCATATATTATTAATATCTCTAAGAGTAAGAATTTTGAAATTTGTGAACAGCATTTGTTACACGGTGAAGGTAGAAGAGAGAGTTGTTAATTTTACCGTTAGATCGTTAATCTTATTTTATTTTTTCGAGAGCCATATTTCTAACTTTACGATATTGACTCCGTGCTACACACACAGAATAAACAAACTAAAGTGGTATAAATTATATATTATTGCAATTTTCTTTTGACTTCATAAATCAATCAAGAAAGATAATGGAATGTCGCACAGTTTTTAATTAAAAATATATCCATTAAAGAAAGAACCTTCGTTCAACATGGATTCGAATAAAGTAGATATTAAAAGAAAAGGATGTTCAAGAGGGGAAATGTATAATTGAAAAATTGATTTTTTTTTCTTTTATGAGATTGATCCCAAGGGTTTACTGTATTAGTTTAACGTGGGTCCTAGTGGTCAAGTTACATACCATTTTTCAATTTTTTTTAAGGTTCTCGAGATGGAGATGGGCTATATTTTCCTATTCCTTTTGTCGCTTTTCCTCTCGCTCGCCGTGCCTGGGATGGTGCTGAGTCTGTGCTCCGCGGACCCGACGCCCCCGCCGAGCTGCGCACCGGATTGTAAACGGCGAACGCTGGTTTTCTGCTTGCAGCTCCTTCTCAGCTTGCTGTTGTAAGTCGGCCGCGAGGGCAGGGGCTGGGTGAATTTTCAATTTCATTTTTGGTAACAGGCTCGGGAGCTTAGCCATGCTTTGGACGAACGAAGAGTGTTCGCGTGGCATCGCTAGTGGGCCGCAATTTTCGTCCGATTTGCTGAGAGACGCAAAGCAGTTCTTCGAGGAAAGCACGCATCAGCTGCAGCACCTGCTGACCGACAGCTTCGAGCAGGCCGTCGCTCCTATCAGCCACGATCTGAACGGTAAATATTCATAAATAGTACAAAAATCAAATAAAAATATACTTTATAAGTACTCTCCCCTAGATTTTTATTGTTCTCGGTCGTAGGTCAGGCTTCCTTCCTAGCTCGTCAACAAAGTTTGTTTCTAGTTTTACTTCTTTCTCTTTCAAAATGTTGACTTTCCAAATAGTGACAGGTTTTGCTCATTTATCTTTGTTGACTCTTATGATATGTAGATGTAGATGTAATTTCAGGGTATAGTGTACTGCGCCCTTTAAGAGCTATTGTATCCCCCGTGCTCTGCTTAAAGCACATCGGTGAGTCCTATTTCATCAAGAAACTTGATTAATAGGCCCGGTTTCAGTGGTTGAAGCACATTATACATCCCAAAACATTTCCTCCTGCGGGCTAGTGTAGCTCCGCAGTTTGTTAGTAAAAGTGTTGGTGTCTCTTCTGCCTCCTTTCAGAATCTGCATGTGCTATCTTGGATTGTTCCAATTTTCTTTAAGTGTTCATTTAATTTGCAGGGTCCTGATAGGAATCCTATTGGGATTCTCAGTCTGTTCCTGCTTCCCTTGACCCATTCTGTAATTTCTTTCCTACCAAAATTGGTTAGAAGATTCTTGGATTGTCATTTTGTCCTTCTGTCTGAGATATTAGTTAATAGTGAGGATTCCTATGCCATAGAAGGGTTCAGGTCCTATAAGTGTTGCAGCCCCTTTCCGTCAAGGGTGTGCGCGTTCTCGTTGCATTCTACTCCCATGTGTCCTGGGACCCAGCAGAGGCTGACTTTATTCTGCATACCTAATATACTTAGTTTGGTTTTGCAGTTCAGCACCATCCTTTAACTAATGATATGCGAGCTTAGTGCTTTCATGGCTGTTTGGCTACCTGACATGATAGCTATATTCTTGTTTTTGTGCTCTTTTTAGGTTGAGTTGGGTACATTTTTCGATTGCATGAATCTCAGCTTGGAAGATACTGATGTATTTTCCCATGGGTTCTGAGTATTGGTTCCAGGTCCAAATACTCGACTCTTATGATGTACCCTGCCCTTATGTATTTCAATGATTTGTTTGTTTTTCTTATTTCTTTATGTTGAGTTTGCTGTCGTTTCGTTTTGCTTCTCTTTTTACCCATAAGCTTTGCCTTGCTGGCTCTTTTCCATGGGTCGTCACTCATTGGGTCGTCTATAGCTTGCAGAATGTCAGTAGCCACGTATGGGTCGGTAAGTAATACAACGCATACCACACAATTAGGTTCAGCACGTTATTCATTCATTTCTTTTAAGCGCTAGTATTTTTTCAAGATTGGCAACTCTTCTTGCTATTTCCTTCCTTGTTCTATCTTTGAAACTAACAAGCTGTCCTAAATAAGTAGTTTCCTTAACCTGTAGTAATTTTGAAGATTCAGCAGGAAGGCATAGGAAAACCCAACACAACTACTAATAGATTTTAGTGGCATACTTGGTAGAAGAAGTGCTTTGGAAAGAAAAACAACCCCTGCAACCGGGCCTAATGATCAACTTTCTTGATTAATAAGGATTCACCTGCCACGGCTTACTATAAGTACAGATCAGGAAATACACTAACCCTTAGAGACCCCATGAACGTACATTTATATCTCCCTTAAAAACGACAGATCCTGTGTTTAAACAAACGGAGCAAAGTGCCAAAGTTTAAATAACATACATAATTATTTTCAACCTAATTTGTTTGTGATTTTAAAGAAATAGCTTGAAAAAAATATGAACAATTTCAAATTAATAATTACTTACATTGCTTTTAATTGATAAATAAATAGTTTGTTTATTTTTGAAAAAAATTAATGATTTTGTTTTTCCAATAGACAATATGTCGGGGCTTAAAATGGGATAAATATATTATCAAAACTAATTGTTTCTTATAAAAACAAATTCTGCAGCCCTCTCCTTAATTAATTTTAGAATAATTCACTTATAACATCGTTCGCCACAACCCTTTTTCCCACAATGAAATCAGTTCAGGTTTGCGCCTGTTTTCCTTCCACAATATCTAACTGGTCACCAGCTAAACAAAGCAGAGAGAGTTTTTGAAAAGAACAACATAAAAAAGCATAATTTTTGTAGTTTGTACGTATGTTTGAGGAAGTTACTGCCTGAAGGAGTAAGGGCTTAAATGAATATGCTTTTTCTTCTTTGATTACAAATATTTTTTTCCAATCTCACCCGGGTTTCGCTTCAGCACACTTAGATCTGGTAAAATACACTTACAAATTAAATATTTCTGTACTGATATGACTGTACATCATCGTTCGTATTGATAAACTAATTTCTTATAGATTATATTAATGAAAGGATGGCAAGTTTGAAATAAAATAATCAACTACCATCTAAAATCCATTTTCGGTAAATAAGACCAGGGATTTTTCTCATTCTGCCCGTATTATCGTTGGGTATTCTCATTGGCATCAAAAATGATCGAGGGGGTGGTTCCATCGTTGGGAATCCAGTGTCCATTGTTCTAATTTGTCGTCGGCCGCTCTTGGGACGTGTCCTCGGCCAACAATGGCAGCCCTGATGCATGTCCTCTCAGAGGAACAAACCGTGATTTACAATTAAAGGACAGGTACCGATTTCCCATTGTAGTCCCTTTGTCACGGCCCTTCCTTAATTATCGTTCCAGTTTCTGCAACTGACCTATACACCTCGATTATTGGAAAATCAGTACAATTAGAGTTCAAAGGGATCGACACATTTTCCGTGTGAAGATAAGCCAACGGGCTTATTTTATCCAATGGGGGGGGGCTCGTTAACAAAATGGATTAAAGTGATTTTATAGGACATGTGGGCTTTGATTCCTCGAGTTTTAACCGATCTAGGTTAAAGATTAATTTTCGAAACTTTTGAAAATCCACCGCCGGCTTTTCTTTCATTTACGCCGGTAAGAAAGCCGTTCGTTTAGCCTACCAATAATAAATAAATGGAAGAACATCCGGCCAGAAAAGTGAAACGGGAAATCGTCAGGCCAGATGAAAGTTATTTTGAATAAACAATCCCACGATATAACATCAAGTTTTTTTACGTAATAAATTGGATTAAAATAATACGTGACTTATTCACTTTTTCTTTGATCATTTGGGCTTTTAGGCTTTTAGAGAAGGAATCTGAGAGGGATTCTTATTTTCTCCTTCACCCCGCTCGCCCTTAAAAATACACTTAAAAATCATCGAACCATGAAGCTTTCACAATCACGACTAACGACATTTGGATTTATATATTTTTCCATCGATAAAATATTTTCAATATATAAATTTATTCCTGCTTTTAAATTATGAAGTTCACTACAGAGAATGTTTTTGACGATGTTTCTAGAAAAAAAATTATAAATTACAGGGTAAATTATAATCTGATAATAAAAAAAATATTCATTATAATGTGTGGTGTATAGTGACCGTTAGCCAATGATTATTTGGAGATCGTGAGATGCGGTCTGGTGTGACGTAGGTTTTAGAAAAACATTATCTTTATCGTGCCAACGTTTCGATCTTTATTGAGATCATCTTCAGGGCCTGGGATTTATAAACATTGTTTAAATTTTACAAATACATGTAGGATGTGGAAAAAGTTGAATTTATACAATGCTAGAAATTTTAATTTTCAATCAAAGTATTTGCACTTACTCATAGTGTTTGCTTTCTGTAAAGATGTGTCATTTTGAGAGTGTCAGTGAGATATTGATGTGGTTGGATTTTGAAGGGGTGGGGAAGGAAGTCGGGAAGAAAGACATTTTTTACATGAGGAGTCGGCTTCATTGAGGTGAAAGGAGCCGACAATGGGAAAAAAGGGTAATGGTTCGTTCTGATTATCCTTTCAGGATTAAACAGACGGCGATAATTAGGAAAAGGAAAGCCAAGTTGTTGAAGAATTAGAGTATGTAGAGATGATTGATGTGTGGAATGTGGTGATTGTTTTATATGTTATATGTTTTCTGTGAAGTGATGATGATATATGTATGTTATCAATATTGACCGACTCGTCATATAAAAATGTCTTTCTATCTCGACTTCCCTCCCCACCCCTTCAAAATCCAACCTATATAAACATAAAACATCAATGTCTCACTGGCACTCTCAACACGACACACAAGAATGACACATGACACATCTTTACAGAAAAAAGACACTATGAGTGAGCACAAATACTTTGAATTTAAAATTTCTAGCATTGTATAAATTAATTTTTTTCCACATCCTACATTATAATTATAACATACAATCTGTAGGTATAGGGATAGAAGATGGCTCTTATACGCTGAATGGCAAAACGTGGCTACCCTCGTTTTTCTTTTAAGTAAATACGTCCAATGTGTGGTAACCATCCAATGTTGTTTGCTGGATGTTTTTGAAGAATAATAAACAAAACATTTAAAGAACTACATTGAGTAAAACCGACCAAGAATGCTATGGAAACAAAGAACAAATTATTCAGTTCGGTATGGAGTATTTCCTCCTCTTGAGTTGATCACCGCTTCTATTCGACGTGGCATCAAGTTGTTCTAGTGTAATTGTAGTGCTGTGGAATATTTTCATATCCCTCCAACAATGTCATTCTTAATTCCTGCAACTCTCTGACATCTTTGGGCGATTTTTTACCCTATTTGACAACTCGTTCCAAAGGTGTTCGATAGGGTTTAAGCCGGGACTAGATACTGGCCACTGTAGACATTGAATTGAAGCCCGTTCCAAATTGTCATCAACGATCCTATCTGTGTGGGGCCTTGCATGTCATGCTTAACATAAAACCCCAATTATTGGCATATAAGAAACAACTTCTTCTGATAGCACTTCTTCAATGTATAGCGCAACAGTTAGGAACCTCGATGAAGATAAAGTTTGTGCGACCTTTGATAGAAAAGCTTGCCCAAACCATAACACCACCACCTCCATAGCTTCTCTGGAGTGAAAATGTATCGCACTCTTGTTTTACTCCAAACCCTCACTCGGCCGACAGAAGACCTCAAACAAAACCTTGGATCGTTCTA